TCCGTTAAGCCATATAGTGAAATCTATTTCTGACTCCGGAGCACTCCAGAGCTGGTCAGCGACGGGGAATTGTTATGTTCCACATTGGGAAAAGAAATCATTCGGGGAACGGTATTTCAAGATTTCACTGTACTAAGATTGGACAATCACAGCTGTATTCTGATTCCACTTACTGCTGGTACAAGTAACAGCTCAGAGTATACGACATAATAAAACAGGCCACTTGACATGAGGAGGGTGAACGCAATGTTGGAACTGACTCTTTGGCCATTTGCATTCCATCCGTTACGTTTGGGGCACGCTTCAAGATGGCCTCCATAATAATGCCTCTTTGTTTGTTTGTCTTTCATTTAAAATAGTGAGGACGCCATCCCAACCATGCAGGGGATTCTAGTCTTATTTAATATGGACACCTACTCGATTCTTTTTTTTTTTCATATTGGAATAAAATCAATTCAAAGTGCTAAAAAGAGAACCAGGCCTGGTCAATGAAGAATATGAATCCTTTTTAGGGTTTCACAACTTAGACAATGTAGACGTCGTGTTAAACTTAATTAATTTTTCTCGAGGTCTCTCTGTTTCCACACCTCTCACTCTTAAGTCTCCTCTGCATCGCTCCTTCCGCACCCGCCCCTCCCGTCCTCCCCGCACAGCCCTTCGCTTTGTTAATGAGCAGCTGACTGTTCAGCAGTTCTTTAAGCTGAGACTTTTCACCACTAGAAAAGTCATTAACTTGCCAGTGAGATGAAACATGGGTGGTGGGGGGGGGGGGTGGCGAGCATGGCCAGTGTGACATTCGGTGCTTTGGTTGGCTGCCTCCAAAATTACTCCTCCTTTCCGCTCCTCTCCAGAAATGATTCTGCTCAGCAGACTGTCTCCTCTGCAACGTTACAACTTTGGCAGTCGGTTATGACACTCCAACTGCCTTAATTATCCCGAACAATGGCGAGGTCTAATTAAGCCTCAGACGCATGCGGTTGCTGATAATTTGATCCCACTAGCTATTCGTGACCCTCACGTCGACATGATGCTATCACGACATATTGTGCTGCTAATATCTATTTAGTTTTCAAGGCCATAGAGAATTTGATAAAGGACTGTGTTTTTCTCATCTCTTTCAAAGCTATAAGAGGAGCCACGGACGGAAAACCAGCTTCCCGAACCCAGCCAATCAAGACGCTCCCTCCTTAAGCCTGGCAATGGTTTAGCACAAGACCATTTACTGTCAGACTTTAAACCCACATGATGTATGGTACGGCAGCCCTGGTCTGCTTTCTCTCCTCAGTTCAAAGGATGAGTCTGGCTGCAAAATGCTCAAGGGCACAGGCTAATGTGATAAACCGGGAACAGAAGCTGCAGGCTGAGGGGGTTGAGACTCATGCAAACTGCAGTTTACCCTGTGAAAGCAATGGCTGGAGTATGTTGAGGGATGCCGCGGCTACGGAGCCAAGGGAGGAAAACGGACAAGATCTTTCTTTTCCCCACAATCAACTCTCAACAAGGGATGTTATTGTAGGGATCGAGGATTATCATTGCTGATAATGAGATATTGGTACTTTCCTCTCTTGCCATTAACCCATCTGGCTTTTTTGTTGTTGTTATTGTTCTTTAGGAGGAAGAGTGGTTTCATAAAATATGCACAAAGCATCCACCGAACCATATAGCATTGTCACGGTGTGGGTCCCTGTTGTTTTTTGTAGTTGGCAGCCTCTCGAGCCCCAGGGTTAACTTCACTTTCTGCCCTGGTGTGTTTTCTCCTGGGGGTGATTGTCTGCCGTGTCCCTGATTGTTTCCTCCCGCGTCTAATCACCTGCACCTTCACAGTCTATTTAAACCACGTGTGTCCCTTGTCTCTAGTCAGTTCATTGTCTTGTCTTTGTCTGTGAGAAAATGGGACCAGTGGGACCAGATTTCGTTTGCCGTTTGCCTCTAGACATTTTTTGTTAGGGAACTTTAAAGTACCTTGTTATTTTGGCGCAGTCTGCATTTGAATCGTCCGGTCTCCGGTCCTAGGACGAAACGGGACAAGCATGATAATACATGGAAATGTATTTTTTTGTTTTTTGCAATGTCAAGTTTATTTTGGAGAGAAACAATTTCAGCTTGTTGTGCACCAATTTAAAAAAAAAACAGGACAAAAGATCCTCTTAAAAAAAAAAAAAAGTCCCAAAATATAAACTGGAACGTTTTACTCTGATGCAAAGCAATCGGTTAAGCACAGTAGGGGTCATATTTTGGATATAGCAAGTATCACATTATGGAATTAATCCCTGCAATTCAATTTGAGGGACAGAAAAAAACAGTATTTGAAAATTGTAAAAAAGTATTGCTTGATGGATTTAGTTTAGAGTCAGAAATAGGCAGCTAACTGTATCAGCATCTGCGGGGATGTCTGGGGGGGGGGGGGGGGGGGGTCTGTGCTTGGAAACAGACATTTAGCACACACTGTTAGCAGATGGCTGGGTGACAACTTGAGCTGCTGGTTCTTGAGTTGACATATCAGTGAGGTCGCAGCTCAAGGCAGCACGTCATAACATGAAAATCTGTCTCAGTTCCGATTAACACTCGCCGGATAACATGAAAATGGCCCGCAAAGGTTAATAAGAGTGGACGTGAAATACTTTCAGTGTATCGTCCTTATTTCAGTTAAACATCACAATGTACGAATATTCTATTACACATAAGCGTTCTTAAAAAATTCTACCTAAATTCTAGTACAGTTGCCTGCTTATAGTATATATATATATATATATATATATATATATATATATATATATATATATATATATATATATATATATATATATATATATATTTTAATCAAATTTTACATCGTTTTGCTCATTCCTCGACCAATAGAGACAAATTACCATCCAAGGCACTGGACCAACAATCAGAAGCTACGTCAACATGTTAGCAGAAGATGCTTGGAGCTGCTCTCTTGGTGTCATGAGGGAAATGAGAGGAAAAACAAATATAAGAAGCTGCTATTTAAATCTTTCCTTTTTAAAGGTTGGGACACCTCGTAGACCCACAGTTGGAACACAATGGTTAAGTCTTTAATATAATGTTTTTTATGAACTAATTTCTTTGTAAAATAAGAAACTTAATTTGAAAAATAAAAACACCACATGGAAAATGATGCAGTAGAAACATTGCAATATTCCCCTGAAATGTAGCTGGATGAAAGTTTAAGGTGGACTCAGATGTACTTTGAATTTGCGCTCCAGTACAGAACTTGATGAATGTACCGGTTTCCACCACGGACATAAAATGTCCTCTATGTCTATATAACATGGACAAGTTAATCTATATGGACATTGCATTTATCACAGAGCTAATCCAGGTCCACATGTCTTCTCATGATTAAGGGAACTTTTACAGTGGTTTTTAGCACTAAAAAGACTACTCACACATATTTCAGCTGTTTTCCTAAGTAGGGCATATGGCCCATCCCTGACCATGAGGCTATTTCATCAAGGGACGGAAGGAGTGAGCAGAGGGCCGTGGATTTTTGGGTGTGCGTTTTGCAGAGCAGGAGGCGAAGTAAGGACATCAGGTTGACAACCTGTGGCCATCTTTCTGATGTTATCCATGCGTATGCTTTCATGAACTCAATCCCAGGAGGCACGCGCAAGTACACAGTCACCCACATGCATGAAAACACACGTACACATCGACGGAAAAAGAAAACTTTCAGCCACACGCATCAAAAGCTGGAGCATTGCAAAGTTGGCACTCGGACAATATTTGTGAACAAACTGGCAGATGTCAAAAGGCTTTGAAGGCAGGGTTTTAGAGGGAAAAAATGCACTAATACGGATGTGCCGTAGTTACTGTGTGCTTGTTTCTGAGTGCTCTGGGCTCTGGGCTGCCAAAATAATAGAGTGCCAGCCAGGCCTGCATCCTACAGGCGTGAGAAGATGGGGATAAAGTAAAAACCTTTCCCTTTAAAAACAAACAACATACTTATATTTAAGTTAGATATAAGGGAAACAAGAGGATGTGACAACGAGGTAACGGCATATTTTAATTTACTGAAAGTTGTACTTTCATTACACGTTGGTTCGGTTACTGCTCTGCAGCAGATCTTTGACTTTCAGGACACTCAAGTTTCCCTGAAATCGGCCCAAATCCCGTGTTCGTGTCAACAATTGAAACATGTAAAAGTCGAGGCCTTTTCTCTTTCCTTCGGTAACACGGTGAAATTGAAAGGGGTGATCTGGAAAAAGCAAACACGTGAGACACAGGCATATCCAGCGCTTTAACCCCGAAGCCCGCAGGGTAATGGTAGGATTAATTACTGTTGAGTTTGACCCAAGAAGAACTGGAGCAGATTATCCCAGATGCTGCAGAGGAAGGTATTAGTGCCAGTCGCCCCGCTATGGCAGAAGAGAGAGACGAGCCACCTCAACCGCAAGGATGTCACCGTGAACCTCGCTGAACAAAACCACAAAGAGGCGGCGTAGAGCGGCCACCATATACGCCACGGTTTCCTGTGTGTTCTCTTGCCGCCATCAGATGCAGAGTGGACGTCCGTAAGCCAGCTCCTCTCCTCTCAGCAAGCAGGCAACAGAGGAAGAGAATACTGTGTAATTACAATAGACAATCTAAAACAAAGCCCTTCACTTTCAATGAGTTGCTCTGGGAGGAGGGAAGGTTACCTCAAGGGGGAATTCTAATGAGGCAGATGGCTGAGTGCTCGCAGGGGCCGGCGCAGATCGTCCTTCTTTATACATTCTGCCAACATTTCCAGTGTTCAGAGGAGTGTCACCTGCCTCTTGACCGCTCATTTGTGCTTCTGCGAGTGTGTTTGCATACAGACGCTTCTCACAAGATGGAGGGAAGAGATTAGTAGAGTAACTTCACAAATTCGGCGAGACACACGTGTATTGGGGAAAAAAATGTACGATACAAATATCCTTGGAGCGCCCTACAGAAGAGGGCCACTGAGAGCATGCTGCATGTTAACAGAGAAAAAAAACAAACTCAGATTTTCCTTATTTATTCTATACCGATTTATTTCATCCAGTATGTGCTTATCGACAATGCCGGTTCTGCCTCACCCCTTTGGCCTCACCCCTTTGACCGCCGCGCAAGCCACGAGTCACTGCTACAGTGTGTGTGGGCGGGTTGCTGCGTGGGTCAGTGCAATGTCCCACAGGTACACATCGAGTCACACCATACCTGTACAGTTCCGTTATTGCTTTTTCCTTTAGTTCCCGTGTTAAATGCAGAAAAAAAATAGATATCCATTGATCAAATAGCAAAGCAGTCATAATACTGTCCTCCCCGAAAGGTCAAGTGTCCTTTTAAGAAGTGTTGAACCAGTCGTTGCCTTTGCGGGAACAAAAAGGATGCGCCTTTAGGTAGAAAGTCTTATTCTGTAGCATCATAATATGATGATGTCCCACTCCTGCGCTGCACCAAAGTAGAGAGATTATACAATGCAAATGACATGTTTCCTTAAAAATCATGGATATGTTATGAACTCTATACATACACACAATTTGGTGAACGTTGCTTATCATTATGGAGATAATGAGATCCCTTAAAAGTCTAAAATAGATACAGAAATATAAATAGGTCCTATGGAAATATATAAATCTATATAAGTACCTTGTCGATAAGAGGTTCCCAACAGCAGATAAAGTGGAATTAAATACATACTTTTGCAAATGAAGGATAGTTTCAGAAGATAACGTAATGTAGTATGAACGTCCCCTTTCGTTTTTCTGCCAGACTAATACATTGAAGAACAGAATCACCTTTGGCTGCCACACAGGATTTTCTTAACAGCTAAAACCAGTAGAGAAAAATATGAAATGTATTTTCCGAACTAAATCCTAGCATCTAAATATATTTGTTAGTTCACGGAATCATGTCAAATTTGAAATATGAACAAGCAGTAAAGAATGATGAATCACTGACTACAGGTCAGCTACAGATTCCCGTTTCATAGTGTGAATGGGTCTTAGAGTGAAATGGTTTGCTCCCCACTATCGCATGCTTTGCCTAAACTACATCATATCCAGGTTACACTGCCCAACAACTCAAAATAACATTATTGTCAAGTAATTCCATTCCAAATTCCAAGCAAAGGGGGTCAGTTGTGTTAGACGCTACGATAAACTAAAATTTTCCCCCTATATACCAATCTTCATATTATATCCAATACCTCTGAGGTATACTGTCACACGAACAGCTGATTTTAGCGCTTTTGTATAAAATAAATAGTGCGATTATGGGAGGCTAGGAAGGATTTGTGGTCATGAATGAATTAAGGATGGCCTCAGAAATAACACCCGTGGCTTCTTCTCTCCAGAGATTCAGCTGCTGCAACATCTAATCCTCAATCACAGCAAATTATTTAATTAGTTTGCATCGCTGACTCACCAACCCACATTCATGGGCAAGGATAGGTCAACAAAGTAGGGAGAGGGAGGCTAATGTTACACAACAAAAATGGAAGTTCACCAAACTTGGAGTCTTCTGTTTTACAGGAAGAAACGTCTTACGTGGGTACCATGTGAAGCCCTACTCTAGCTCTGCAAAGCGGCCTTACGCTAAGGCCACTTACCCATGTAGCCAGGCCATAGCCATATCCATATCCAGCCGGGACCTCAGGCAGAGGGAAAATAACATATCCCAGACATTTATATAAATGTTCCTTTTGTATTCTTTATTCCTAAGGCTAGGTTGCCCTGACAAAGATTATATTAAATTGAAAGAGAATCACCCATTCACACAAATGAAAGATATTGAAATGAATTAAACTATAACGGATCACACACAGAAATGGCAGGTGCTTTTCCCCCCTTTTCCTCTAAGCTGACTTCTGAACAGACTAGCTTGTAGCGCTTGGACATAAAGCTGGCAGCTATTGTGATCCTTCAACCCTTCTTTGCGTTATCCTCTGTTAATCTCATAGAGCCGCTTTCTTGCCATGTTTAGATGGGTGACATGGAGAGACATCATGCAAAAAATACCCTGCAGGAGCAGATGAGTCACAGATGTTTTTCTCATTTCACTTCTCTCAGAAGACGCAAAGTTTCAAAGGGTCCTTATCGAATCGAAATACTACTTTTGGCTATTTTCATGTCTCTACTCGGAATGAGGGAGTACATGATCTTCTGTGAGTTGAAAAATGATTGGCATTACATCATTTCAAAGCTTCATGCCATCAATGAAAATATGCTTTTCTCAATCTTCAAGTTGGCAGTTTTCTTGCATAAATTTCCAGCACAGATTCTTCAATGATGTTGCCCCAAATGAAACTGACAGGACATCATGCAGATTGTGTCAGCTCTCTAACTGACAATGACGGATTCAGCGGATACACCGTGCCAAACCGTCCCCAAACCACTTATCTGTGATAATGGACCGGATTAAGTTCAGGGCCAACTAATCAATCCCTGTCTAATGACTATCTCTCAGCGAACTATGACCCGTGCCTCCCTTTCCCACCCTTTTCCAACGGCGTCCAGCCCCAGCCATCGACCCTGCTAGGTAGTTTGGCAAACACACTCACACAGACACTCACACACTCAGGGCAATGCTCCATATCAATTAATTTGTACTTTGAAACCCATTAGCTTACCCTGTGTCAAAACAATCCATATTCCAGTTGAGCGTGTTCCAGCTAAGCCTGTTCTGTGGGTTTACATCCCGTATTATTTGTCTCAGAGCTGTGTCCCTCCCTACCAATAGGCACTCTGGATAACTCCCACTATGAGGATCAAGGCCAACAAATTGCTTTAGTTCCTTTCAGATGTCTGCTTACTGTAGATTTAGAAGAGGTGTTAAATGTGGGAGAGGTGAAGACAGCACTGCTTAATCTATTGGTAAAGACTTCTCCAACGGTGAAGAAGACCGTGAGAAGGTGATGCTCATCCAGATGAAAGCTAGGATCCAGTATTGATTTCACTTATGTAATTTCATTTGAGAGTAATTCTATAATGATAAGCTAATCATAGAGTCCTTGCTTTGTCTACTTCCCCTTATTCTGCGGAATCAAATCATATGTCATGATGATGACTACATTTCCCGTGACTAGTTACATAGATAAGTCCTGGGCTTACTGCATTGAGCTGTTTATACAGGTACTTGTAAAATGAGGCAATTATGAGAATGACATTAAAGATGAACACTTAATCAATGTTACTATTTTGCTGAGTGAAAGAAATTCTGGGATCACATAATAATATATTCATGACGCCAGTTACCCAAATAAAAGTTATTGGATGGATGGGTTGATGGAAGACGGTTATTTTATGATAGTGTTACCTAATATTTTTCAAACAATGAACATAATAATTTTAAAAAGATCCCATGTGTAGTAAGGGTTACAAAAGATGCATTTATGTCTTTACCAAAAATCATACATGAAATCATTGATCATACCCTTGGTGGCTAAATATAAACAAGCCTGGCGAATCTGACTACAATAAGAAGGTAGACAATCCATTTGTCTTAGATTAGTTTACTGCAAATTCAATAATTTCACAAAATGTTGTGGAAAGAGAAAGGTATAATTGAATATTTATTATTTTTGCCAGGTGTTCTTGTTGTATGCAGCTGTGTGTTGTGTCTGGTCACGTGAATCACTACCTGTAGGGACTTTTGAGAACTTTAATAAGGTAAGACCGTGCACTTCTGTGTGTGAGTCCACGATAGCCTGCAAGGGTCAAAGGATTACAGACATGTCTTGTTAAATTAGTCTTCTGTGGCTGAGGGCTGTGACTGAGCTAGGGACTCAGGTGTCTGAGTGGAACCTGGGTCCGTCTTGGTGATGAGCTATGGAGACAAACATGTAGAAGCAAATCGCTGATATTCTCCTTTGGGAGTTTGGTGTTACCTCCTTTCACTGTGTATTCAGTTTTCTTGACCAGATTTTAAAAATACAATGGAACTTTTCAATTTTTACTGCTACATCTAGATATGCTCATGTCTTTACTGTTTATTATTCAGATGTCCTTTTAATAGCAATGTAGCTAAAACTCAAACCAATGGTTGACAAGGTCTTTCTGGCACTTTCATGCAAGCTATTTTTCTCCGACTTACAGAAGCAAAGGCTTGATCATGGCAATACCTAAAGGAGAACATGCAGTAAAGAGTGGGATGTTTTAGGAGATTTACTAAGTCATGTTTTCAGATCAGGCCTCACACCAATTGAGTCGGTTCTGTGTCTTGCTAAAGGACACTTTGGCAGAAGAAATGGCTGCTGGAGAAAACGTCAAAAGTCTTCAACCAATGAACATTTCAGTTACGGAACAGTCTCTTAAACCCCCGGGGTCACAGTGCATCGACCACAGCTACAGTGCTTACTTTTAGCAACCCTAAATATACATACATTCAACATCTCAAACTCAGCATTGGCCTTCAATCAGGAAACATGTCTATATTGAAATAGAAGCTATAGTGGACCAAGTAATGCAGAAATCAAATACAGTCAGGTGACCTCACTCGGATATTTCCGCTTGTGTACCAGCTAATTTTGACAATGCAACACACAAGCTGAGGTGAAAGGAAGTTTTAGGTTTTGCCTTTTGATCAGTTAAGGGAAAAGTCTGTCTTTGCATCAGACTGTCCCACTGAATCACACACTTATCTGCAATAACACTCACACATTAGAATTTGCAAACAGTCAGAAAAAAAAGCATGCTTTCTACACACATTAGTGGCGTGAGTTTGGAAGACAAAGTGAGCTTGTTAGGACGTGGTTGAGGACTCTGCAGAAGATAGTCACCCACATACCGTTATGCCGCAATATTAAGATGGCGGGTTGCTCCATGAACCCCTTTCCCCCCTGCTTCAAAAAACCTTATTATTACAATAAAGTGGTATAAAAAAAGGATTGACGGGCCAAGAGACGGTAAATAAACCCGACAGAAAAAGTCTTTTTGGTTTCCTAAAAACCTGTTCTCCTTCTCCTATTACGTTTTCAAAAATCTCTTATCCATCTCTTGTTAGGTTTTCAAAGGTTTATACAGAGGATAAATAAGTACAATCTAATAGATAAATTTAAGGATCAACAATATGTGATCCTATATGAGATGGTAAAAGATTTTGCCAGTATCGAAGAATTTTGTTTTAGTTATAAATTTAGATCATTATTTTTTAAAACACAGAAAAAGCATTTATGCATGCAGGTATTAGTGCATAGGTTCCTGCTGAAACAGAGTATTAATGTGTTGTCAAACAAATTGTCTTCCAAAACTTAAATTTGGCATAGTTATAGATAAAAAGAAAATTACCTTTAGATTAAGATGTTTTTGTCACACCATCTTAGTCACCGATTCAATTATAATTTAAATATACCTCTATCTATGTACATACAGTATGAATAAAAAAAATTGTAAAGCTAAACACAAATATAGAGAATTCTAGAGCTCTGAGTAACCCGATAAAGTGTCATTTCAATCACAGTTATTTTTAAGATCATGGTAAAATTAGTCAAATCTGAAGACAGAAAAAAATATTGTTTGTGTGTATCAGTTTCGAGGAGCACTGGAGGGTGTGATTAATCCTCACAAGTTGGAAGGGAGTTTAGAGCGGACCGTTTGAGGTTCTAGATCTGATGAGTAGGCTGCAGAGGCCCTCTGTAGAGGCGAGGCCGGGGAGGCCCCAGTGGACTGTATCTGGTGAGGGTGCCCCGGAGACAGATGGGTTGGAGGAGTCATGTGTCCTGGCACTGAGCTACAGGGTTTAGGAACAAGAGTGGGCGAGGAGAAGGGTGAGGGGTAATATCCAGTGTCCACAAAGGAGCAGGCAGTACGGTGGCCTAAGGCCTGGGCTACCTCTTGGGGCAGAGAAGGGTGCGAGCTGGATGAAAGCTTACTGTCCTCAGAAAAGTGGCCAAGTGGAGAAACTCTCTCTGTCGCGTGTGGCGGGCTGCGAAGCTGTGAAGGGAGAGAGGACTGAGACATGAGTGGACAACTGTGGGATCCTGTGGCACTTGAGTGGTCACTATGGAAGAAAGTCCTGCCGGCCACTGGGCTTTGAATAGTGGGGCTAGGCGCTACTGGGGTAAGGCAGGGGGAGGCGTTTGCTGAACCATACTGTGCCAGGGAGGCCAGCGCGGACCTCTCTAGGGACATATGGTGAGGCATTAAGCCAGACTGGAGGGCTGCCAGGCTAAAATGGTTGAGGGAGGACGGGGAGCCCTCAGCAGGCTGCTGGCTGTGCTGTCCTCTGCTAGAGGACGGGGAGCCATGTTGAGGAGAATGGAAGAGGTTTAAGCCACTGGTAGTCCTGCCTCCCCCAGCAAACTGCTGAAAAGGGGCTACCTGAGGCAGCTTGGGTGATGGCTGACTATGTAGCAGTTGACCAGGCATAGGACTTGATGAGGCGGTAGATATAGGACTCTGACAACAGGAGGAACCAAGAAGTCCAGCCGAAGTTCCAACAGAAGTCCCTCCTATGGGACAAGCTGCAGCACCACCTATATGGCTCCCTACAGCTCCTACTGATGCTTTGCCTATATGTCCTCCAATCATTGCTCCCCCTGGCCCACTCACACCTCCTAAATAGCTAGTTGTGGATCCATCTGAAACCGTTCCCAACAATCCTGCGGGATTACCTACCATTGAACCGTCAGACGCCCCTCCAAGTGGTCCCCCAGAAGGCCCTCCAGTAAATCCCCCGGAAACCACTCCTATTGATCCAGCAGAAGGCTTTCCGAACAATCCTAGTAGTGACTCCCCCAAAGCCCCTCCCACTGATCCCCCAGAAGCTCTTCTCATTGATCCCCTAGAAGTCCCTCCCATTGATTTCCTGGCTGTTTCTCCTATTGAACCGCAGGTAATACCAACCGCTGATCCCCCTGATGCCCCACCCGCTAACCTGACACAAGCAACAGCCGCTGCTCCTTCAGATTTCCCTCTAATCGAATCCCCTGAGATCTCGGCTACTGCTCCACCAGTAGTTCCTCCGGACCCAAAGTGTGCATCAGGCAGTTGCCCCGTCATTCCAAATGTAAAGTCCTCTCCAGCCCAAGCTGTGTCTCCTCCTATGGCTCCTTCCCCAAAGTCTCCAACTGCTCCACTCGAAGACCAACCTGTAGCAGCACCACATGCTCCAACTGCTGCACCACTTATTCCTGACCCTGTGCTTCCACCTGTGGATCCTTGGTTGAAAAGGTTCGAGAGAGGTGGAGTACTGGAGCGGAATGGTTGTTGATGCTGTGGTTGTGGGTGTAATTGGGCCGTGCTAGACGAGGGTGAACCAGAGGAAGAGTATGGTCCGAAGGGGAAGGCAGAGGCCTGTCTTCCACTGGACCCAAAACCAGTCCCACTAGGTCCACGCTGGACCCCGCTACCTGAGGCCTGTTGGCTCGAGCCAATTGGCCCTGTACCTGACGTCATGTGAAGGGCCCGAAAAGAGGCCAGCAATGGCATGTCCACCCCAGTCCCCAGTTCAGAGGATGTGTTAGAGGGTGAGTCCCCAACAGAACCAGGTCCTGGGGATGGAGAAACAAATGTGGGGAACTTCTTAAGCCGGCTGGGTGGGTCCTTTAAGGACCCCAGAACAGAAACTGGGGGCCTGAAAAGAGTTTGTGGAAGGTGAGGATGGTGTGTCAGGGCAATGGCTACTGAGGTGGTGGCAGCTGCTGCCTGTAGAGGGGCCTGGATGAGGGGGGCCCAGATTACAGGGGTGGGTGAAGGAGGCGTCTGGGATGGGGCATTCTGCAAGAGGTGGGCACAGTGGGCCATATCCCTGTCATGCTGCACAATCTGCTGAATGATCTCACTCTCGTGGTAGTTGAGTCCACCTGAGCTTAGGTCATGTTGTACCTTGTGCTGCAGTATGGAGTTTTTCTTGCCTGAAAAAGCAGTTGAGAGAAAAAAAGAGAAAAGGAGAATGTTAGAATTGACATTTGAGTGTAACTGCATTATTATCCAACAACCCCTCACAAGCGGTAAGGAAGGAGAAGAGACTTAAGAAAGAGATGGGGTAATGGATGAGAAGTGTACAGACAAAGCATAAAAGTGCACAGAGAAAGAAAAACAACAAAAGATAGGTGGGAGACACCTACGCTCAGGATGACAGCCTAAGGTGTAGGCGGTGTATGTCTGACTAACTCTGACTGTTATTCCCTTGCTAACTGGGACAGAACATAATGCAAACATTGTACTGTGGGAAACCGGAGCTGCAATGAAATAATAGGTCGAGCCATTTCTCTGGTGTGATGTTTTCTGTACTGTTATGGGCTGTCAATATCAAAAACAAACTTTCTTTAAATTTCAATTTGAAATTGTATTTTTCTCATATGCTACAATTTCTGTGTGATGAGCCGCTTGATAACAGAAAGACGCATAATGAAACAATTTGAGACTCAATTCAAGACTGAACCGTTTCATGATATTTTTCCTCCTAATTGCTTCCCTTAAGTTTCCTCCTTACCATAAAGTACCTGTGAGCTGAGACACGGTCAAAGAGGCAAGTTGAAGTCCCACCACTATGACAGGCATACAAAACTGCTGACCCAACCGTACAGAAACATTTGTGCATCTCTGACCGCACAGTCCATTAGTCATTGTTTAATGGCTGCACCAGCAATGACGGGGGTAATTCATGTGACTACCATTTTCAATTTGGTACAAATAAAAGGCTGTGAAATCAGAAGCTATTGTAAATGCAATTAGGGCCAGATCCATCCCTCCATTTTCTGAAATGGCTGGTCACAGATTAAAGAGATACTATATTGAGGTATTGCATCTCCATCCAGCTTCAACCCGGTCACCATCTGATCCTTCATCATCTGCACGCCTCCAATCAGTTTGTGAGGCCATCAAGACAGTAATTAATTTTTAGACCATTGTTGCGTAAGTTACGTAAAAAGGAAAAAAGGGTGTACATGAGCATCCCTCCTCGGAGAAAGGACATACTCAGTGACAGATACATTGCTATCAGTCCACCACATCTTTTGGAAGTAGCCATTTTCTACAAAGAGAACCCCTAAAGCAGTTTTTCTATCTTCTATTCTAAACATAGGCAAGGATAAAACAGAGCATGCTGGGATTGCTGAGTGATTATGCAGGCGTGCCTTTCATTGTGAATTTTTCATCTACTCAGGCTAAGCCTGGGAAAAGCAGTAGATATGGAAAGCATATCAATTGTATCCATAAGAGATACGCATTTTAATATCCACACTGATACTCAATGAAATAAATCACTTTAAAAGTAATTTTTGTCATTGACTATCAATAAGGACTTTTCTTTTTTTACACCATGTTGGGCCATGAACATAAAACTGCAAGCATTCGTGTCCTGAGTTTCGAAGAAAAGTTGATGGCATCTTTTTGACGGTATTAAACATTCGTTTCAAGATTCCCCATAAATTTTCTTACCGATGCGGTCCAGCCTGTCCAGGGCAACAGTCTCAAATGCCCTTCTCATCATGGGATACTCCTCCAGCACCTCATTGAAGTTGTCCACAGACAGAGAGTACAGGCGACAGTATGTGTCTGCTCGGACGCTGGCTGTCCTTCGGCCTCGTGTCAGCAAGCAAATCTCTGCAACAGAACATTGCAGACAAGAGACAGTAATGTAGTGGAGTTAAACCCATGGGCTCACCTGTCTTTGACTTAATATGAATAATTCAAAACAGTCATACCAGTTATTTGCCCCAGCAGAAACGGTAGGCTAAGAGACACTTTCTAAGCAAAACCTTTTTTATCTAAAACCCATAACTTTTGTCTAACCGATTGGTCCAGAGCTCAAGGCATTGCCATATTATTGCCCCCCGTCATTGGCCACTGGGCATGGCCAATGACGGGGGGCAAGGCCAATGACGGGGAAGATAAGGCTCCGTTATGATGCCAGTGTTTTATTGATGAGAACAATGCAGTTTGGAAGAGGAAGGCATGGTGAAAATAGGTAAGCATGGGTGCATGTGTTAGTTTGCCATGTGTTTGTACACAATCCACGACTTTTCTCTTTAGCTTTCATCTCATCTGCTGCCCTCCCTTCCCGTGTTCGCCATCCCACAGGAACGGAAACCCATTTCCAGCACATCTTCACCCAAAAGATCTCAGAATGCACTTTCCCACCTTCCCCCCGAGTAGCCATCAACAATTCTTTGTCCAAGTTATGCCCCTAAAATTGCAGGGATAGTTTGATTCTGTGCAGAAATTTCTGTGTTCCAATTGCATATCAATAGAATGATGATCTAAAAATACAAAATCTGCAACCGAAAAATATGAATCAGCGAATGTAAAAAAATATGTATAACTTAAGAATGAAAAAAAGTAAAAACCTCAAAATAATCTTGTCCACTTATTTTAATTTTGAATACATTGTTATTTTTTCATTGTTCAAGACCAAAACTTAAACTTTTAGTTAGATTTTGGCCTAGATTTTGCTCTATATACACACTTTGTTGTCCACAAGTCAGTTGGCGTTTGTGTGGTTTGTTGTAGCCCTGCTGTTCATGACAGATTTGAGTAGCCAATTGCAATTTAATAATGCACACCACTCATATTAGGAACTGCAGGTGGAAAATGTTCTGTAAATAATAGCTGTATCAAGCAGCTGCATATGAAGTTAATTCACTTAGACGAAAAACACTTCAGTTAATTAGCCACATCATGCTACTTTTTGTCAATTACAAATGCACCAGATACTTCATTTTCTTCACAATACTTCACAGCATTTCTAAATGATTCGTTTTTTTTCTTTTAAATCCTCGTAATTTGATGCACAGTTAGGTTTAAGCAAAAAGACACCCAACCAGAATAAAACAGAAAATGTGGATCTCATGTTACAGCTACAATTAGATTGTGAATGATTGCTTCATATTGTGCAATAATTAACTTTTTTTCTGGTCAAAGAATTATAACGAATGTAAAAGATGTGAGAAGAGAGAATAAGGAATGTATACTTCTGTACGTGGAATAAATAAATGTGCAGTGCATTACTGTAAATGCATGTGTGTGTGATCGAGAGAGACCATGGGGCAACAAACATTGGTCGAAAGTCAGAAAAAGAGCTGTGTGAATGTCAGAGGGTAAAAATACCACGCTCCCCTCATGGTGGGTGTTTGCATACACATATGTGTGTGTGTGTGTACTGTGTGATAGCGGGACAGCTGTGGCTGTGCTGGGGTTCCATGTCCCACAGCGCTGCCCTACTAATCCCCTCTGGAGAGGAGCATCACAGCTCTGTACTAAATCCTCTTGTCCTGTGGCCTTCTGGATGAAGCGCGCACATGAAAATATGAGGCGGTAAGCTGCAGTGGGCCCATAACTATCTTCGTGGAAAGAAAGTGAAGCCCAGACACTTAGCGATGCCATCTGAACTACAAGTTGCAACCCGCTCCGAGCTGGACGATAAGTGATGATATTTTTCAGCTCAATACTTGGATAATTAGAAGCCAAGAAAATGTCATGTCAAAATAAAGTATATTTTATGTCAAATTATAAAATATATGGTTTAACAATAAAAGCTAATTTCTCATTTTTGAGTAGAACAAAAAAAACGAAAAAAGCAAGATTCACTTTTGGAGCAATAAATAATCTAATATCAGTCCGCCGTTTTGGTTTGGAAACATTATCAAAAACAAAATGATATTGTTGATACTAAGAGAATTGATTTCATTTCATTATGAAATGTGGATTGGATTTTTTTATTTGATGTGATGAAAAAATCCCAAGGACACTTTCATTTTATATCATTTTTCATGACAGAGGTTTGTCACCGGCTCTCAACTCAGCCAATTCTTATTTATTGCCGAGAACAAAACCGCTTTTGCTGATGGTTTGTGAGTTACATTCAATTTATTTATGAATGCTCTACTCCCACTGCTTACTGACATCTCTCATGACTCATTGCAATGATCCCCAAATCCTGCATGAAATCATAGAACAGGCTCAGTTGATGTAGATCTGCCTGTGTTCTGCAATGGCCACATGTTGTCTCCTCAGACTGACTGCCGCCTCTACAATTCTCCATTTCTGTTTCGTCCCTAACAACAATCACATTATTCATTATCAGGCCAAAACTGTGGACTTTGTTACATCACATTACATTTATGCACTAGAAGCTGTAACTTTGCCTTAGCCAAGATGCATTTCATTTTCACACTTAACTGACAATGCATTCGTCAAATTCGAATGGCATCAATTCAAATTGGAAGCTGCTCAGGGAAAGGAGGACATCGACGTCATGTGCTGTGGCCTTATCCGTTCGTGATTTTGCAGCCCATGTGTCTTAGATTCTTCCTGGAAAGATATCTCAAAGTGGGGATCAGATAGGAGGGGGGCGGGGGGTATAGATAAATAGAGGGCCAACAACTCTGAGTTTTTATTGGCTTTCCTCCTAGCCACAACTCCACTGGGCGTAGACAGCTGAGCAAAATACAGTCAATAAAATAGATCTTTATGAGGTAAATATGGTTAGGCACTGAGATACAAACACCTGTGAAATGTTAATCAATAAATATCATTAAAACCCAAGATAATTCTTTAAAATATAAAAACCATCAATGAGCAATGGGTTTAACTCACCTGCTTAAATTGTCGTTGTCACAGGCATAAATCCAACTCAAACCAAAGTTAGAGAGATCCTCTGAAGCAAGTGTATAAAACAAATGATCCTTATGTGTGCATGGATGTATGTATCCTGCTACTCATGAGTGGCAAGTGGTCTGTAATAAAGTATCTGTGTCCTCCAGCAAAGCTCACCTGGACTCCAGAGTCCTAGAGTCAGCTACCATCTCCCTTCCCAACAACATCCACGGTGGGACGCCTGATTCCCCATGACATGCTATGCTCACTCCATCACACCATTAGCATAGCTGCGCAACACCTCAGGTTTGGCCAGCGTGCACACAGTTTGGATATTCTATTTATCAGACCTTATTCTATCCAACAATACCGTGCATACTTGTAAAATATTATTGTGTATTAAGTGTGATCACATCATTACTTATCTTACATTATGCCCTCAGTATTTGGAAGATGGCCAAATAATGTCTCACAAAGTTATTGAGTTGTGTCACATGACAAATTGTGTTAAAAGAAAGCATTGTATCATCTTACCCTTTCCAATCTATTATATACCCCCTTACTGTCACTCACTCAACTACTGCAGAGCCTCAATCTTCAGCAGATGCTGCTCCAGAATAAGAGGCGTAGGAGTGTTAACTGGGTTAAGGACCGGGAGGATTACCTGGGCCTTTGCTGCTGCCAGACCCTCTCAATGACTCACTCAGTCAGAGGGGCCATTTGGCACCTCTATAGCACAGCCATGTCTAAGCTCCGAGAGGCAAAAAAAAAAGCAAAAGAGATGGGAGTGTTCGTTCTCCTGACCGAGCTGCCTATGGAGACCATTCACAAAAAGAATCTGGTAAATCCAAAAAGGGTGAAACGGGAGATTGCAAACTGTGCAAAGTCTAAGTACTTCCCTCCTTACTCCTCACTCCCACCCTCTGACTCAGTTTCACTTTCCTCTTTTACCCGCGCCCACACGTCTGCTACAAGCCACTCTCCCAACGGCCGAGTGAGCCATCTTAGAGGTGCAATCAAAGGCAGCTTTTGATAAGAACCTCCGACTGGCATGTAGGGCCACCGCAAGGTCACTGAGCTCTGCTCCAACTAAGAGAGAGGCACAGTCTGCAGCACATCGATTCCTGCACGCAACAAAGGATGAACTACAACAACGCAATAACCTGCTCAGTCCGGACACCGAGAGGGGAGCGGAGATGCCGAACGGATAAGTGTTCCAATACTGAAGTATAACGAGGGAACGAGGAAAATAGAGGCGAGGGTGCGTGTTTATCTTCCTGAGCCCAGAGCAGCGTCCAGAGAGCAGGCATGGCAGCGACCGACGTGTCCCTCGGCGTTAGTGCTGCAGTCACATTACATTTCCCCTCCACATTGGATCGCTGTGTGCCCATCCGACGCTCCCATCCAGTTCCTGTCGTGTCAACTCTACACTTTAGGCTCGGGCAAATCCAACAGCTAACACACTGGAGCAGACTGCTGAGTATATAATTGTGTAAATAATTCAGGTCATCGGAATGAAGGAGGTACGGTACATGGGTTTGATGAGACGCTAATGAGCACATACGCGTGGCGTTTGTCGTGCCGTAAACTCAAGCCTTTTTTTTCGAGTGTTTTTTTGCAACAAAAAAAAAAGCTCCTCAATGAATGGAGGTATTTTGCTCTACACTCAAATACTGGATGGTGAGTCAAAGCCTGTCAATCCATGTGGAACGGGCCCCTGCGCTGCGCACGGCGGCCTGCTAAATTGAAATAAACTTTGCTTTTGAATTCCCTCTTCTTGATACCGACAACTAAACTGAGATGTGGCAGATACTCCCTGTACAAAGCTTGTGTTAAAAACAATTCTGTGACCTTTCATTGAAACCCCTTTCCTGCCTTGTCGAGGAGGGTCGAGGGAACATTTTGGGCAATATTTTAGACTACATGGACCCAGCTCGCTCGGGGTCCATGTTGTCTAAAATGTTGATTCGTTTTGGCATGTGGAAAGATAGATTGCCTGCCATCTTTTCATTATTTCTCTGGAACCCCCCCCCCCACCCCCCCCGGAGAGAGGGCATGGAGATGGACTTGGGCAGGCAAGGCGTAATTAAACTTCCACAAGCAGGTCATGTGCTGTTAAACGCTTTGCCACCATTTCTCATTACTTAACTGTGTGGACTAAATGATACGCTGTCACTGGGCAAATTAATCGGTATTTGGTGAGGGCAGTATGGCAGCATTGTCTCCTACATGTGTCATAAACTCTGTGGGACCGTGAGAAGGCGACGCTTTATCTGACCCTGATTAAAAGCACAACACGAGTTAAGTACATAACAGCTCTGGGTTTTTGCATGGCTTAAGCATGCATGCAGAAGATGTCATTTCACAGATTCCTCTCCCTTTTGACCGTTGAATGCATATTTCTTATTTTGTAATTCACCAAGCAGTTTTCTTAATTTGGGTTCGCCCTACATTCAAGAAACAGCTTATGATGTGAATTAAGGGAAATAAACCCTGCATGAACCATGGAGTGGAATTTCAAGTGAGGCAACAAACAACATGTCAGTTCCCCACAATGATCTAATAACAGAGCAGATTTTTCCAAATGCCCCCTGACAAATACAAATTCAAACCTTGGCCAACCTATCAAGGCACTAAAGCATTATTAATATGAAAACAGAGGAAGATGTGTGTGCATGTGACCTTTAAGTTGAGGATTTTTGGTGCAGCGTCTTACCTCCAAAGTAGCAGCCATCTGACAGCTTGGTCTCTTTACTGCCTTTGGTTAGCACGCTGACAACCCCGTGCTGTATGAAGTACATCTTTTTGCCGATGGTTCCTTCCCTGATGATGTAATCCCCAGGCTGGAACACCTCAAACCTCAGCTTGGTGAGCATGGAAGTGACAAAGTTGGGGTCGGCGTTGGCAAACAGAGGCATGGACGCCACCAGCTTTCGACAGTTAAAGTTGACGATTTCCTGCGTGAGCGCACAGAGGAAGCAGTCAGCGAGATACGGCGCTCTACAAATGGCGTTTGCCCTTTGTTCAGTACACAGTAGCTTTTGAATACATCACACGTATAGAAGCCCCCCCCCCAGACAGGAACTCTCATCCCACCTCTCGCAGCGGCTCGTTCAGCTCTCCCAGGATGCTGTCCTCATCGAACATCTTGCCCTGGTAACGATGCTCGTAGTAGTCGTGGATTCTCTGCCTCATATCCGCTGGCAGCTTGTGGAAGGACATGTACTGCTCCACCTGTTTGTACTGCAGGGACACCGAGACACACAACAATTAGGTTACCTAAAGGCCATGGTGCTTTAGCACTGATATACAGCCACAGGGAACAGCTGGCACCGAAGACACACACACACACACAAGGAAACGGAGACGGACACGTAGAGGCCATCGTGGGCGAGTTGCAACCGGTGCTCCACAAGATGTCTCTTACAGTCGGTCTGACTGTTTTTTTCGAAAGACAGAAGGCAATATCACCATATTTGCTCTAAGTACATTGATCGTTTCTTGAATTCAAGAAGAATTGGAAAGTAAAGGTACAAAGTAGAAAGTGGGAGAAGAAGTTACGTAGTGACTATATGTCCATATAATGTATTCAGACAAGTGAAAAAAGAGAATAGCAGCAGGGAATAGAGAGCACTCTAGATGAAAGTTACATTAAGAGAAAGCACCACATTGATGATAATGTCTGCGTGTGAATCCAGACACTTACTGTGGTACGTGTGGAATTACATATTTCTGTGTATATATGTAATAGGTTTAACATCTTACATTGCAACTAAATATTAGGGTTAGTGTCTCCATCCTCCAGTCTTATGTTTGTTGTTAAAAATAATTACTATACTCAAAACATGTTTGGTGCCCTTTCATTGATAGTACAGTATAGGAAACAATGATTCAGATCAAAGAATACCGAGAGCACATCAGGAATAATACCAGGCAGAATCCTTGACCATCAGTGAAGAGGAAAAAAAGAAGAAAAAAGAAACGAACCATTCATGGCGCAATGCTGGAGATGCTCTTTGATCACCATTGCTACAGCGCCAACTGACATGGCTGACCTCAGATGTCTCCCTATTTGTTATTCTCCTCTACTATCCTAGTCACCACTTTTCTTGTAGGAGATCATCAAAAGGCCATCCTTTTAGAAATATAGCACAGTAAATTAGGGAAGACGTCTCCTGCAAGTCAGATTGTTTTTTGTGGAATCCAAGAAGCTGTCAGGGTTCCTCAAAGTCAAGAGTTGTGATTAGAGCTGGAAAGACAAACATGTAAGGGGTCAGAATCCAACACAGGGGTCGGATTAGATGCCAACACCCGGCTTTAACCCTGCTGTGTTTGTAAGCCACTAGAATGTTCTCTTTTTTGCACCCTTAATTTTGCCAAATTTTGATGTGTTTGGAGTTGTATTTGACCAGTGCCCTTTGAATGTCTCAGAGAAGAAAACACTATATAGTTGTATAGATACTTGCAGAGGCCAAAATAAGATGTGGAAAGGAGCTTTTACATACCCAGTCTCAAGTGCGTATGGGAAAAGAAGGATTGGGGTAAGTGTTTGAGTCTTTTCCACACAATCCCTCCGGCATAAAATTGAGCATTCACTGATCTGATGATGAAATACGACCCTCGCACAGAGAAGCAGTCCCACTCCCCTACTCCAAGAGACAGACAGCTCTTGAAAACAATTCACAGGCTCCTTTTGGCTGCAGAGCAGTGTGGCTGCGTGAAGATGGGGTGAAGATGACAGGTGTAACCCACATTCAGCATCTTGCCTAATGTCTTAATGTCTCCTGCATTTGATCTGCCACAGCACGCCGCTCCGTTTCAATGGCGTGCATTATCATCCCCTTCGGAACGTTTATCTTCAGCGTTGCAGCATTTTACAATTTCATTCTCCCAGCATGAAAGGGCATTAGTCAAGTGAACAAATGCTAGATAATATCTTATTTCTGTTATATTGTGATGAGTAGAACTACACTACACACTGTGGCTCAGTCAAAGGCATTTCATATTTACTTATCACCGCTGAGCCTGAGAAGAGAAGCTGACAGGGACGACTGCGGGGGGACGGTTCTTTCCTGATAACAACCCCCCCGATGCGAAATTATCTTATTTCTGCACAGTCGCCATCACACAGTCATCAAGGAGACCCCTACTCGGGCTAAATCAAACCATAGTCAGCCTTATAGAAGTAACCATTCCTCCATTAGCCACCCTTGCTGCACTTTGGAAAAAAAAAAGAGTTGATGCTGCAGGGGGCTGATCAGAATGTAGGAGTAGCTGATGAGATCCACAGGATTAATCCTCTCTTCCTCTCTGTCTGGCTTTGGATAGACATTGGTAATGAAGCGCTAAATGGTCATATCTGTAGTATCCACCAGCAGTCTTTACCACAAGGGGAAAAAGCTAGTCTGGCTTTGCCCAGAGGTATGAAAATCTGAGAATCTTCATCTTCATTCACAAATTCTTTCTTTCCCTTCCCTAGTTTTGATTTTTCTCCGCACGAAATTCTTTGGATTTCCATTCATGATTTTTTTTTTCTGTCTCTCTTTATTATGCAATTCTTTTCCCCAAATGCTTTCTCTCTCACACAGTTCTGCAAACAAATGCAAATTTTGTTGCTCCGAATAAAATTAATAATTTGTTTCCCAACAGAGATGTCAGCCACTTAATAAAACTTTTTAAACATGTATTTGTCTCCACTGTTCCGTCTCCTCCTGTATAGCCTTGTGTTGCATGGTCAAAAGGTGTAGTTCATACAACGAGCCTAACTGAAGTGTTTCATATTTGAACCCACAGATGAATGCATGAAAAAAAAAAGGGAAACACGGAAAATAACCAAAACTTGATATGCTCAAAATACTTGGTTTGTGTAGGAGGACAGCTCTGACTCTATTTCGCAGCATAGTCTCTAACCTTTTGGCCTTAGCGCATCTCTTTTAAATAGAATATCCATTCATGGGAGGGGCCAGTAACATTCCCAACATCAGCAATCCATATTGAGACTAACCAATGCTGCCATGACATAGGCAAAGAAGTATCATGTCTTAGTTAGATGTTGTAGTGCTGTAATATTCAAACACCATGTTGCTACTTTATATCTGATGAAATACTATCCGGCTGTTGAAATGAAAACCTACACATGAAGATTGCAAATCTGGCTAAAAGCCAGAAATGACCGTGATATCAGATACAGAGGATGCTGACATTGGTTGTACTTTTGATTTTGTTTTGGTTGTACTTGTTGTATCATATTACCTCTGGGACATGTCAACAGTTCTGGACTCACCAATACGAGTTGTGTGGCAGAGACAAAGGGAAATGTAACAGGGTTTAGATTAATGTCAGGTCCAGACTAATTAGACCGTCTCTCAAGGCAGAATCGGATTTACATCTAGTTCCTCACAGGCACAAATATATTTCTCCCACTTTTCAAAAGAAAAGGAAAAATCTACAAGTGCAAATGTCCTCCTCTAATGACTATTTATTATATTTCCAAAGGTCTTGATTGGGGGATGGACGGGGGGGCGGACAAAGGATCTCTAGAGCCTCTTCACCCATAAATAATCAGCTTTGGGCCTCTTATTAACTATTCCCCAAAGTGCTGTGTTTAATTGCCATGTGTTAATTAGAGACTTACAGGGAAGGGACTGTCCAACCCCACTGACATTTCCCTCTTAAGCCACTTGAGAATGGCATGCCACAACACGCCGTTCATAGTCCCTCCTGGGCATCCCTGATTTCCATCCTGACTGCCAACACCAAAAACTGATAAACTCAGTCATCCCACGCTGAATACCATTAATAATATACTATTTAAAAACTGAGAGGAGAAATGCTTGAAAGGATCAGAGGGCTTCCCCTAAGAAAGTAAGACAACAAGACACTTACAAATGATTGAGATTATCTCTTTAGTTTGGTGTCCCTACACCCGACTATGCATTTGCGCCGTAGAGGGCTGTAGAGGCAGATAAGCAGCGGCTTGCAGAGAGCTGGAGTGGCGAGGATATCCCGTATGCACAGTCACATGTGCAGCCATCTTGTGGCCCCGATCTGGAAAGAGGTAATTCTCTTTGTGTCATAACGGCTCTCAACATGCCGGAGACAACAGGGAGGAATCCTCGGGGGAATTTGGCGAATGCTTAACTCATTCCAGCTCACAACGATTTAGAGAAACTGCTTCCTGGTTGATACAGGAGTTCAATGTGGGGATGAGAGACTAGATATACTATTATTATTTATTATTGATAATACTACGGGAGTCTAAACAACTGTAACATTCTATAAACTACAGTTACAGTGGTAATGTTGGTGCAGAAAATTACAGAAAGATGAAAAAAAAAGCACAGCGAAATATTTCAGAGAAAAGATATTAAAAGCTGAGACATTTTGAAAAATGAGCACTTAATCAATTATATAATAAAATGTGTTTTTTTCGTACACAATATTCAATGTAAAATACTCTTAACTGGACAATTATATCACTTCGAATCCTAAAGAACTCAGCACTTCAAGCACACGGGAGACACTGAGAAGAACAGGGATTGTTTAGGATAATCAAACACCATGTCCACCTTCAAACTGTTTATATTCCATTTGCATTGGATATGAAACCTAAACCCTGGCAGTCAAGATACATCTGCAACAAATTCAGTTGCAAAAAGGTGGAAAATGCTCCCAGCATTTTTTGTACCAACAGCCGTGTGTTCTCACACAGCCAAAGACTGGCATCGAGAAGATGAATCTAATGAAGCAATTTCTCATCTCAGTGTGAGCCACAAATCAACCCTAGTATTTAGTTTGATTGTTGGAATCTCCACTGTGTGCAACGGTAAGCAGGCGCCCTGATTCCTATTCAACAGCTCATTTAAGTCTCCTTGCTAGCTTCTGACAGCCTGATCATTAATCACATGGTGCCATATTGTAATAGAATTCTATTCAAAAAAGATTATACCCAGGCTTTCTGATGATAATTTCCAGCATATTTCAGGGAAGAGCTTTTTTCCTTTCCCATTTCCCATCTGTACTCTTCTGAGATTCCTTAATAGACTCATTTTCTTCATCAAAGTTACCTCTAAATGTAACTGTTACCTGGACATCACCTCTGCATGCCAACTTCACGCCTCACAAACAATACACATCGTATGTGTGGCAGCTCCATGCTTTACTTTTGACAAAAAAAAGCAAAAAACATGTTACATTTAAACGAGGCGGCTTGGATCAATGTTGATCTGCTTTTTGAGATCTTTAACCCACCACACAGAAGTTAGTATCCATCCTCCATACCCCCTGGGAAAGAAGGCGGTGTAAATTTATGCATGTTCATGTTTGTGAATAGTGCCAACCACTTTTGAACTTTGAAAATTGCCGTGTAATAAGCTCAACTTTCAAAACACTTGCCAGTGACTCGGGGCTGCGTAGCGTCTTCATTGCAGATGAGTCACCATTCATGCTACAACACAGAGTGGGGGGTTTATGCAAAATCTGCAGGTTTCAAATGTTGCAGAAAGCGTCTTTGGACTATCAACATTGGCATGATTTGCTTGCCAACACAAAAGCTTTGAAATGCAAAATATTGGGATCCATCTCAGCTTGCCAAGGAAAAAGAGATCAGCATTAACTGATGAGTCAAAATGTCTCATTCCTCGTACATGCAATCAACTTTGCATGTGTTGAGTCAGTACGCCAAATGTTCCTCAGAAACAAACGGACGGAAAAGACCAGGAGAAAAAATACATTTTGTTATGTCCTTACTTTATCGCGGGTGCTTGTCTAACCCACATAGCACAGACAACGACGTTGCGTTAACGGTTTATTCAGACATCACGTTACGTTACAGAGGTAGCCAAACGAGAGAGAGTTCCCGCCCGAATATTACCCAGAATAACCCGGTGCTTCATTACTACGGAAACAGAGTAAGCCCAAAATACACAACACATTTTATGGTAGAGCTTAGGCTTAACATACTCTTGAGATTTTAAAGTTATTTTTTTCTGCTCCTAATTTTCATGACAAACTATCCCAAATAAATCCTGTATGTGTTATTTTGTACTGCCAGTACGAACCCTGCGTTTAGGAGTTCACCCCCAAACGTTATTATTATTCATTATTATTATAGTGTTTTATGTATGAAGAGTGGCTTAATACATTAACACCCATCCATGTGTGCCATTTTAAAAAAAAAGCTAGTATGTGCTGCTTTGAATTTGTATTACCGTTTTTGTTATTTTGTAATATTGTTCATGGTGTATGAATGGTCTATTAACAGTAAGATCACATCTTCAGTAGCATTAATAAATTACTGTTTGCTTCGAGGTGAGGCAACCTGACATGCATCTTAGTTTAACTAACGAGACAGCGTAAATTCACAGGTGAGTACGATAACTTGTGTATGGTGCGTGCTGGGTTGTGTGTGTCTGGCAGATTTCTTGCCTTGCCGAGGCTTAGCAGAGAAGAATATAGCTGTCCCTTTCATGGCCGCCAATGAAATCAGCCACCTGCCTTCTCAAAACTCCAGGGATTGACCAATGGATTGTCCACTTCTTGAGTGCACAGATTATGTCATTAGTCTGACACGGAAAAAAAGCAGGGCAAAATATCTGCAAATGCAGATCCCGTTGTCACGCAACCGACGCGAGGGCAAACGACAAAGGATTTATGTCTTTGAAGGAGGTAACGCTGATAAGCACGGAGGAAGAAGGGCAATAGCGCAGTCTAGTAGAAACTACTACTGTCTGACTCCCACAGCCGGATGCGCTCGTAGTGGCAGTGCACCAGGAGAGCGCCTTATCACTGAGGCATGTGGAAAGATAAATGACAGACGTTGCAGTCTTAAAAATGAATTGGAGTCTGCAGTAATAACCTTTCTGCAGACAGGCACCGTGGGAAGATGTGCAAGCACAGTGAAGCCTTTTTAGCTCACTGGGAGCTTCTTAAGGCGCCTTAAGGGGTGAGCCTGGAAACGGCTGCAAATGGCTTTGGTGCCACATGCTGACTGGTGCTGAGACAGGCCAGCTGTTCAGTCTACTTGGCAGCAAGGCATCTCTAAAGCAGAGCAGCAGACGCGCAGAGAATTTACATGTCTTTCATTTAACTGTTACTGAGATTAGTCACGTACCTCTCGCGTGTTTGACGTCTGAGCTTTTTCCTACGTTTAGGTGGTTAGAATCTGATGGAAGACGTATCTCTTTGTTAGTCACCCCAAGATCAGTGAGGTGTTCATTTATCCTGTGCCCTTTGTCTCCTCTTGAAGACACATTACGTTAGCGTATCTGTTGCTCTGCTTCTCTGCCTGGATATTTTTCTCCCTCTTTCATTTTGGGTGAAGTCTCTAGAGCCAATGCCTCCATTCCCTGGAGGTTGTTGCCTCCCGTCTCAGCTCAGCATCGCCCACGCTACGCCAACGGACGGCACGGCACTGTAGGCCATGGTTGGCCTTCACAGCCAACTGTCAGGGTATTTTCTTTCCCTGAACAAGAGAGGGTGGGGTAACGCAAAACCTGTCCAGCCAGAGATGACGTGGACCCTTTGCTTAGTGCACCTGTATCTAGCATTAGTGCTTTTTGTGCTAGTTACTAAGCTGTGAGGTGCACAGTTTGGCAATATTGAAAGTATACCGAATTAGCTGTTAGAAGTTTCTGTTTTCAATGGAAATTCACAATTACTTTGATACTGAACTCACTTTAAAAGTGATGATGCCCAGGCATATTCTGGGGAAATGCAAGTCCCAGTTAATCTAAAAATATCTGTATCATATCTGCACGTTGAAATTTCAATGACTTTTGACTGTGAGGAAGATAATTTGATCTGAAGCAAATTAAAGCGATACGGGGGAAAGGGTTTTACATTCATTACTTTTCATCTCACGCAATACAGTGTCTTTCTTTGACCTGAAGAACAAACTCTGAATCAACATTTTTTTGCACATGCCAGTTGTCTCTCTTTATCTGACCAATGTATTGTCTTTATAAAAGTTATTTTTCGGAACGTGTTTGTGGCTGCTCTTTTAAGACAAGTACAATTCAACATCCTGCCTATCCACCATTGCGCACTCCTGAAAATGAATCGAGGCAACACAGCCGCAAAGAACACGTCATCTCGACTCACCTTCTCCTGGTACTGCCGTCGGGACGAGTCCAGGGATTGGATCAGCGCCGTGGCGTGGCCCACGAACATGGCGTAGCAGGTAGCACCCACGATCATGCTGAGGATGGTCAGCCACACGTCTGTCATGCCCACTGGGGGGTACATGCCGTAGCCAATACACAGCATGTGGCTCATAGCTTTGAAAAGTGCGTAGGAGTACTGCTGTCCCCACGTGTCGTTCTGGATGAAAGAGAGGAGATGAGGTGACTTAGGGTGAAAACACTTTATCTTTCTATCCAGCTCTCTCTCGCTCTCTCTCTTTCTCCAAATGGTGTTGATGGCACATTAAAAGGTCAATGAGCATCCTGACAGCTTACACACATTAAATTACTTCAGACAGGACTAATTGCAGACATCCACTACGGACTTCCTTGGTCCAATACAGAGCAGCTGGTCGGGTAAAACATACTTAAATCTGCAAATATTTGGAGCGAGCTGCAGACATTTGGGAGAAGAGAACGCAGCATAGCTTTAAGAATAGGACGGCGGGGTAATTTGTGGATAAATTGTCCCCTTTTCTTTAAACCCCAGTAGTAGTTTATGGCAAATCAATATCTACTCTCTCCTGGGGGAGACCTGTCCAAATTGCTTTCAAACTCATTTCCAGAGCAGAAAAGCTGGGAGAGATAGCAATTTTATTACTGCCCTCCTTACAGGTAAGGATCGATGACCCAGCAAGATAATGGGACCGCTACTGTAAAAGACAAAACAAAAGTGATTCTAATCGAAGCCAACCCAACCTTGACTGGGTCAATTCAAACCCTCCGTCAGGTAATGTGTACAAAATATGTAGAGCTTTCCATCGGAGAGTTGCCTTCCCTCAAGGCTTAAATTAAATCAGAAAGATATATTTGTTATTCCACCACATCGAGAGCCATTCTTCAACGTAATACAATTAATTAGACTGTGTTTTCCGTGGGAAACAAAACAATGTCCGTTTTGATGTTGATGAGAGGCTACATGCCTCACATGGGATTTTAAACAAAGTACAATGTGAGTGTTCCTGGTCGCAACTCACGGTCTAAGGGAGCAGCCAGTGTCTCTCTCTACATCAACATTGGTGATTAGAAAATGCGATTTATTCCCAACTTTCCCTTTGTGGCATTGCATTTGACTCCGACTATGAGACAAGGAGGGTTGGTCAACGAGGTTGCTGGTTTGGTCCCCTGTGCGGGCAGGACCTCACCTGACTGATGTGTGTATCCGACAGGTATAGAAAACAGGATAAAATGAGCTAATGTGTGTAACGTGTCGAGGGACAGTGGTTGGCAACATCTGTCGTTTCTTATGATTAAATATAACAAGTGAGCATGTCAGGGAGGCAGTGAGGCACGATGAACCAAATGCATCATACCTTGAGCGATGTAACTACTCATGTGACATCTGTTCTGGCACGGAGAGCTGAACACGCAGCTGACTGCTGGTATGTGTGTAAGTCAATGTCATAGGATTTGTTGCCAAGTCTTTGCGGTATTAAATGAAGTTTTTTGCCTTTGAATTGAATTTCTACATGACCTTAAATAAGTAATTTCAGCCTATATTATACATATCCAATTCTAATAATCAAAATTACTATTTGTGTTTTTTCTGATAGAGATTAGCTGTGAGCATTGGATGGATAATATACACCTAAACTCACTACTCTGACTGAGGCAAAACTATTTGTTGAAAACACTTCATTTATTCCATTAAGTGGACGTTTTTCTCTAGAATGAGTTGCCAGTTACACGAAAGCCGAAATATTTCCCTCTTGGCACAGAAGTGTATATCAATAAGCCAATAGTTAGAGACCATTTATTATGGCTTAAATATATGATGATTTATTGGTAGGTTATTCTGCAAAGAGAAGCACTCACTGATGTCGGATCAATCCCTATCGAGGGCCACCACACAAAAACTGAGAATAGATTGTGCTGGTTTAGCACGAGAGCCATCAGCTGCGGGTAAACATCAGGTGTGACACAGTACGCTTCCATTAGCAAATAAAAGATAACTCTATCATGAGTCGCCTTTAAAAGAGACTCCACTGCAGCAGCAGTACTGTAAGATTAAAGCACAGTGTGAGGGTATTGTCCAATATATGTCCTCCTCAGAAAATCAATGACCCATGTAGAGTCCCCCAGCCTTATAGTCTCTCTCCTATCACAATACGGATATTGGGAGCTCAAAATACATTTAAAATAATCAGCAAATAATGACTGTATATTAGATTTAGGGCTTAAAATTACACATATGAGCCAATCTTTTGCAAAATGCTAAATAGTTTTAGTACAATAATTACTAAAGCTGACAGATGAGATAAACCAGGGCATAATCCTGTTCCAGCCGGCACGGCGACTCCATGCAGGAGAAGCACTCACCACCATCTTATTTTTGGACACCCAACAGTCGGCGGGGAAGTCTTGCAGCATGGGCACCAGGAACTGCAGGCAGCCGTCCCAGTGGCACAGCAGCAGCATCATGCCGATCAGGTTGACTATCCTCACCATGGCGCTGGCTAGGTCATAGGTCATGTGGAAGATCTGAGGGGTCGGGAGAAGAAGGAACCGGGAAACGCGTTAGGTTAGGACGATTCAACGAGCTGATGGTAAAATGCCTGATGTCTCTGTAGACCACACACACACACACACACACACACACTCTACAGAGATTCCCTTCCTACACAGTCAGTTCAGTGACTTCTTCGATCACATCATGCACGAGGTAAATGTAGCAGCTTGTATAACAGGTGGCTTTTTACGTTGCACCCAGATGACATGGTGGATGCAGATGTTGCCGTTCTGACAGCAGTCCACTGGGGACGGTCAGCCGACTGGGACCAGAGCTTTGTCGCCCCTGGTGCCGAAGCACTCTTATCACCAGCCACTCAACCAGACACAATAATGCTACGTCTGTTAATCCTAATGATAAATATACCCAGAAGGCGCTCTAGGAATCTGAGCTGGTGAAGACTTTTAATGGCCTCAACCATTCAAAGCCTCTTAATCCCATTGAAGACCACGGTGTGCACTGTTAACCGCTCAACTCCTTATTAAAATCCACTCAGAGCCTTTTAAGAGCGTGTGACAGAGCGGATATTTCATGTGCGCTTTGTTGTTCCACAGTAGGTGACGGTGTCGAGGAAGATGAAGAGACCCACAACGCCGCACACCGCTCCATCCTGGTCCTTGCTTCTAATGCACTGTGCTCGCTTATCTTCTCACAACGCATTAAAATGTGAGCACGCGTCCGTGTGCTTTTTTCTGTGTGCGTGTAAAGAAGAAGGCTGGCAGGGATCAGTGTGGGTGCTGCTGCACCATCGAATCAAATCAATTTAGCTCCGTCAACGGGCCAGCATGAAGCCAGAGGTATGCCCGGGAAAATGTGCTCGGCCTAGGAGGGGAGCCAGGCTCGCTCGGAGCGGATGCAGACATCCCCACTCACGCAGCCCGTGTGAGTCCGCAAAAACACAAAACAATGAGACTCAACATCTCTCCAGACTCTGTCCCTTCTCTTCTTTCTTTGGGCTCTTGTTCAAAATGTTTAGCCTGAGGTACTCTAAGCTGAATCATTCCCTTGGCTGCATCTGTTCTGGCTCAACACACCAATAAAATGTCTACAATTGTGTTTACAGCTGCACAACAAATGTGAGCTATAATTTTCAGCCTTCAAACAATCATTAATATGGTTTGTTATCTATTAAGCAATATTGTGTGATGTCAAATACCCTGCTGCAGCCATAATGGACATTCAATACGTTAAATTTACTCTGCTTTTTATTGATGAAATTGTATTTTCAGACAGTAAAAGGAAGCTTTTAAATCTGTTTAAAAAAAAACTTGTGTGTGCCAATACAGCAATCACTGGGCCATTACGGGTTGTCATTTGAGATTTGGGCATAATAACCATCACAAAGTGACATTTACCCTTAAGGCTCTGGGTAAAAGTAAGCTGGATAATTGGTCTTTGTATACCTAATTCTACACGAGCTGGATACTTGGGTGTAAAGCGGAGATATAAAAATCAGTTTTGTAAATAGTAAAACAGTTTCACAAGAGTTAAACATCCCCTGTGGCTCTGTATCTGACCTTGTGTCTGAAATACTGTCTTTACTCACTAGTGGACTCCAGGCTGAGTTTATTATTTTGTGGTGCTATGTTTGGTAATGCTATGGTAAAAATGATTATAACTTCTATCGTGGATTCAAAGCAGCCCACAATTCATTGCAATAAGTGCATTGTATCTGCCTCTAATTTGGCAATACAGTATACCATACGACGAAAGGAGAGAAAGCAGCTCCACTGAGTCAAATCCACGAAGTGGCACGAAAATATCACAACACAAAATATCACAACACAAACAGCCACAGTACTTTGTGTTTATTCAATTGAGATAACAAGCTTAGTGCCCCTAGACTGACGACAACAGCTCACTTTACTCCTCTGTTCTCTCCCCTTCACAATAAAAGACACCTGAGGTTGATATTAAATGTGTCAATCATAAAAAAAAGGTACATATGGTAAATATATTTGCAGTTACATCTTTCAGGATCATCTTTGGTAACCACACAGCGTTAGATCTAAAATGTTGATACAAAGCTACAAATACTTTTCTACAGCGGAAAAACTGTTATTCAAAAATCTAAAACACAATCCACAAATGTGCAATTACTTTCGCAGTATATTTCTTTTTATTTTGGGACCTACTAATAACACACTTCTTGGTCTTTACGTCCAAATAAAAAAGCATGGACACAAACTCATGACAGAGCTTTACAAAATAAGAAATTAGCATTTCATTTGGCAGCCGTGTGTAGGCTACTCAATATGAACCTTTTATAAAAGGTGGACGACAATAGAAAAGTAAAGGCAAAAAATCTTGATGGCCCCCTGGGGGCTGGCTGCAGTGCGGGTCATAACGCGTACCCCCTCCATGTTATTGGATGGGACATGAGCCAAATCTTTCCCAAAAACCAACCAAAATTATGCAGAGCATTTGCTAATTTGGGGCGGATTACTCTTTTCACGGAGCATGCACTGTTGTGTGTTGAGCGCTGTCCCCTCCAATTGTGCAGGTTTTCCTTGAAATGTAAATATACTCAATAATACTGTTTATCCACAGTATGTTTCTGAAGCAATGGTGCAGCCTGAACGACTCATTACTTTTCAACCCTAACTTCTGGTATATTCCTATTGTAGCTGTGCCCTGAAAGGACCTCTGGCACTTAACCACCGAGAGGAGGATAAAACCAATGCAAACTGTCATGAGTAATACCATGCAAATCTCCAGTTTGTAACCCAAAGTGTTCTGTCACTAGGGGGAAGGTGATTCCCCTATCTCTCTCCACAGCTGTAATCAATTCAAATACACCCATGCCGGGCAGGAACAGACTTTCCATTTATAAAAAAGATTTGTTCTGTTAGAAGGTTGTTAGAGGATCATTATTCTGAGGCAGAAAATTAGATTTATGTATCTCCTCTCGTTTTATTTTGGAGACCTTCCGTGAATTTTAAAAGGCCACAAACAGCAGGACGTTTATGCTCCGTGTGATTTCACCTATATAAAAATGTGGATATGCATTATTTAACATGAACAGGAATGTGTATTCAAGCACTTTTTGCATACACACTATTTCTCAACATGTTGTGTTACATGCAGGATGATGGATGGCTGGCTGACCACTTTCTTTTAATTGTAGGGTCATATAGTAACCCCGGCAGTTTTAGCATCAGCATTAACAAAGTGCTTTGATTGATAAGGGCACGGAGACGCAACACAAAAGCTTATTGTCCCCCTCCATGTGAGAGGCCATGCTGTCTTTTTTTCATCGAAAACATGGGTCTTATGAACAGTAATTATTTATATGTGAGGGGGTGGGAGGGGAAACACAAAAATATAAGAAATTAAACTAATTCTACTACTGCTACAAAAACCATATTTCCTTTTTTTTTTTAAATGAAGCTTAGGTGAAAATTCAGTCAGGAAGACTGGACAGGCTGTGCCGTTCCCGGGTGGCCTCCTCTCTCCCTGGGGGCGCACGGCCAGCTGATTAGGGGCGGGGTCGGGTAGTATCAGACGTGGGTGTCGTTACCGTAAACCAATCGCATTGGGGCAGGCAAACGTTAACTGTTCTCCTCTCTTTTGCTGTCAGTTGTCATTTCAGCACGCTCCAAAGGTGACCCGCCACCACCCCGGACACCTCCAATCTACAGCAGAACCTGGCATAGCAGGAGAGTTATGCAACTTGGGCTCTACCACCACCACCAGTGTCTGGACTCCCAAGGGGGGGATATGCCTCGTCTCGGCTCGAGATCCCGGCCCCTGGTCTATCCTGCGGCAGGATGGAGTCCAAGCCCCAAACAACTTGCAATATCATATTATACCTGTTATAATAAAGGATTGTTCAAATTTCAACAAGTCTCTCCGGATTGAAATACCAATAGAAGAGACAAATCAAAAATATTCACAGACAAAACAAAAGCGTGAATAATGACCATAAACAGGGAAATTACTCAAAAACAGAGTTACGTGCCGAAGTCATGAATGAATCTGTGTCCCTGTGGGCCGGTGATCAGGGCCTCACAGGCACAGAGTGGCTGAAGGCAGCTGAGGAATCATCTCAAACAGATGGAGTAAGAAGAGTGCGATCCAGGTGAGAGAAGTTGAATCCGAAAATTGGAGAAATTTTTAAATAGCTTTTTCTTATAATAAAGCATGTTATTTAAATGTATATATATATATATATATATATATATATATATATGTGCATTATTTTATGAATTGTTGTTAAGTTTTAGTTTAATATTTCGGATGGATTTGCTGGCATTATTCTAATGTCATCTATCTTTGCCGGAGAAGTGGCGGTAATTAAATGTATCCACGGCACTGTATGTATGATATTATACATTATACTCAGCATGGAATATAAAATACAAGCAGTATCTTCCTGTTTTTGAGCGAGAATGATTTTCTGATGATGAGTCACTAAGTTCATCAGCTCAATCCATCCATCATGTCTCGGTATTATTTTCAATCATCCCGCACGATGGCAAATTCTGGGGGCAGGCGGTGGGTAAGGGTTAGAATTCTCCCTATGAATGCTTTGACCAAAATGTCATGCTCATGCATGCTGTCACGCTGGATGAAGCACGTGTGGAGAATGAGAAGTAGGCCCGGGAGTGTACCACTGGGAACACCTTTCCATCATCTGTCTAAACAGGCCTGCAGGTTTCGGATCACAAAAAAAACAAACTCTGCTCCCTACCAAGATGTGCCATTGGGTTTCCGGGAGATTACACATATTTAGTGTAATACTTTAAGCAAACCCACTGAGGGTATTGATATCACACAAGGCTCATTCAGAACATTGAGGACCTGTCACTATTGCCGGAGAGCCTCATTGTGCACTCAATAATAGCCCATCGAATGTATTCTTCCTTTTTCTCTTATCACTGAAATACCAGTCCTTTGCCAAGGTAATGGGTCGATGCGTGGGTGGCTGATTAGTTGATTTACGTCATTTAAATATTTGTGTATAGATTTACTGGCTGGAAATGAAAGGCATCAGAATCCTCCGGATCCCCGGGGCAGCCACGTGGTCGACTTCTATCAAAGCACCCGAGCTTTCTTACTGACGTACGCCTTTGTTTCTCTCAAACGGCAGCACAAAGCCACCTGAGCAGGTGGAGTCATAGATCTTAACAATCCAAGTTGCCAATACTAATAGAGATGGACTATTTGTGCCACCTTGCAGTAAATAAAAACAGGTGGCACTGCATTGCTCCAAAACTCTCGAGTAATTTGCTTCAAAACCTACTATAAAATATCCTCTTCTTTGCCTTTTTTCACTCCATTCACGCTAAAAAAAATACCGTTTACTGGGGTCGGCCATTCAGAATGTCATGTCGTACGCGTCAGGCACGATAGGAGGAAGCCCTCAGAGCTTAGTCATTAGTGCACTGCCTTGAATCTGATTTAACAGGATGACTAATCTCATCCAAGTCAGTGGTTCGTCAACAGGAGACAACTCCAATGAGGAGAATATCCGGTCACAGTCTTATTTTTATCCCAGTGACAAGAGGAAGCTGACAGGAGGGAGACAAGGGAGACGCCATTACGGCAGTCAGCTCTCTGCGTGTGTGATAGATATCTGCACACCATGTGGAACGCCATTGTGCATGACAGTGTCGTCACATGCGTATGGTCTTGGTCTAACGAACAACAAACATAATAAACATTGGACTATTTTAAGTTAATGAGGTAATAGGGTTAATTGATAACAGCTAATAAAAAAAGGAGATAAAAAAGGATATTTGATGGAGATTCACGAGTTGGGGGGAGATTGTGGTATAGCTAAGTCAATATACAAATTTGGGATTTTGTGCCTTCTAAATAAATTAAAAAACTAACATATTGTGAATACATACTGATATAATACCATTTAAATGAATTCATGAACAAGCTTTTTTACGGTAAGACAAGAAAACATCCTAATATTCAGGGTCAGTGAAGAGAAATTGTGTAAAATTCGTCTCTCGACATATTACAATACAAAAATAGAATAGTGGTAAATCATTTAAAAGCTCTTCTTAAAAATTAACAAGAGATACATTATAATGCTTGAGATGTCATATTTATTCAATAAATTATAAATAAACGTCAATCCATCAGGGTATGATGTAACATTTTACTTTTGTATAAATACCACATTATGGAATTACAAGAAAACGTTTTAGCAAAATATTAAAGTTAATGTACTACTTATGAAAGACTCATTTCAAACTAATATATAATTTATTATTGCAATAACGTATGTGCGATGCCGTTACGTATGTGTCCATTTATTGTGACAGCTGGTTTAAAAGTAGATCTAAATGGAATGTACAAGTTATTGCAAATTGAATATACAATAATACATTCAATGCTTAATTCATGTATAAATAAAACTCCTTAATTTGGCTGCAGCTTGTTTGATGACAATTAATAACTAAATGTAGCCCTGCTTTGATCCCAAATCCTCTCCATTGTCTTGTCTTGTGGGACGTCACACTGGAGCAGTTTGTGGGTGAAGCATCACGCTCAAGGACAAAACAATTAGCAGTTGTGTGTCAACATGTCTGAGATTAGGGCAACTAGCACAGTGAGCTCTCTTAAGGACATGCGCTTATTGTCCATGTCAACCAAGCCGACTAAAGCATGCACATACTTGCATGCATAAAAAAACACTTGACACACATAGGGCGTATCGCAATGAATGGACAGATAAATTGATTGCCATGCCAAATATGTATTTACCTGTGTGTATGTCGCATATATGTATGTGTGTAGATTAGAATCTACTCCCTTGACATTTCAAGCAGATTCATTTAAAAAAGGCAACTCTAAAGATACTTTTTTTTGGACTAGAGAAGCAGAAGTAGATTTGACATCTTTGTATCTCTCAGACATGTTGTTATTTCTATTATGAAGTACATACTTTTTCAACGAGGGCTGTACTGCGGGTCAGAGTTACGTCCCCATTCGAATAGGAATGGGATTTACAACATGTTGGACCGAGCTATTGCTGTGAAGGTACAATTTTAATTAATTTAGGATTTGAAGTTAATGATTAGCTTATTCACACTTTGATAAATGCTCCTAAGCTCCTATTTGGTTTTTGACAACTTCAAAAGAGACAGTTGTGTGCCAATCCCTGAAATCTTTGACTTTTTCATTTAGGCACCTCACAGTTTTTTGGTATAAATTACTTCAGTACATTTGCCATTGTTTTATTCATGTGTCGTGTTGTAACTTCAGAAAAATCTTTCATCACCGTAGAGGCTCCATAAGACTTTTCTCATTCTTAATTAAAACGTCTTCCCCGCTGTATCGCTCTACGAGGCATTAAACCATCCAGTAGGACCCATTGAGCTGGATTTAACATTCACCAGAAGAAGCGTCCTCTGTGTGACTTCTTGAGGAAATAGAGCTCAAACAATAACACTCCAACTGAATGCGTGATGGACCATTTACAGTTTATGGACACTTGTGAAATAAGAGTACGAGCAGACAGTTTATAGTGTTCGCAACACATTCCAATGCAGTGAGGTACATACACCTTGTCGGAAGTGTAGCTGTCAATATGAAGAGCCAAAAGTCAGTGGGGTTGCGAGATCTTGGCGACAAGTTATTCTGCACCGACAGATGACATTTCTGTGAGGTTGCATCTGGACTACTCTGGCGCTGAGGCAAAGTTGGCCTTTCACTCTGTCGGCCCAAATAGAATCAGCAAACCGCGCACCACACACACAAAATGTAAATGGCAGCTGGCTCTGTGCGTGTAAATGTCCCCCTCTCTTTGTCGTCGCATTGTCTCAGTGGTTGGTGGGTGCTGCAGTCACTGCCCTACAAAGTCATTGCTACTACATTTATAACACAAATCTGATTCATTGCTTTGTTTTATATTCATCTTACGGCCTTCTTTTCCTTCTAAGTATTAGTCCGATTGGTCGATTACAACCAAACAACGGGGTCCATGAGCTATTTCAATGGGCTACGCTGGGCGTGAATCTCCTTTTTCTCCTTCTTTTTAGTTTCCTCTCTCGTTTCTCCCTCTCCTCTTCTCCTTCCTTTGTTGCCTCGTTGAACAGGCTGAACACATGACAGCTCACGGTCACCGTGTCCACCCTATTCAAATGAGGGCTGGCCTCCAACACGCATATCTCTGCCCTTTATTTTGCGCCTGAAAAGTACAGCAGCGGGCATGCACGGAAGCACAAAGTGACAGAGGGATTCTCTCCCCCCAGTGATTAATTTCAACTTTTCCTCTCTTTGAAATGGCATCACAGAAGCCTTGCATGATTAATGTCGCCACACTCACGGACACTGTTCTACACAGACGGCCGGCTGAATATTTGAAACCCAGGAGCTTTCAAGAATGCCCGAAGGCAGGTCTGGAAATATTGTGATTGGATTGGCAATCAGCTCGCTATTCAACCTTTCCAATTGTCCTTGTAATGTCATACATTTAGGCGAACACACCCGCCAAACTAACTGAGTGGCACTTCTTTTTGACAAAAGTGTGCAAATTTAATTCACAGTTCCATGATTGTTTTTTTTTTTGCTTGCCATTTGTCCACGCTCAACATGATGCGTACTTGTGTGCCTTTCATTTGTAGAATCCAAGAGCTCCAATCAGAGACGGCACAAAGTGGGACATATATCGTGTGTGTTTGGAAACCAAACAACTTTGAAATACAAGTGAGGAGTGATATCGGGAAAAGCCACAAGGCAGGGGTTCGATCCTATATTACGCGCCCTTCTATTCCAAAAATGGAGCTAGCAATCCAAGCTGTGTGCTGGCTTTCAGTGTGAAAAAATAAATGAATCAAGAAAGAAAAATGAATATGGAGGAAAAAACTATCAGGGAGAGACAGGTAGCAAGATTGTCTGTTCTGCAAAGAGATGAATAAATCTTTACAACGTGCCCTAATATTGTCTTGTCCGTGTGTTACATTCTTATTGACTTTGGGTCATTGCTTCTATCATGGCTTGTCAAAACATTTTACATTTACACTATAGGATTAGATGGCAAAACCCATCTGTTAAATGGCTTCCGGGCCATGAGGTAAAGAGCCTGACTAGTAGCTAAGGAAATGTTTGCTTTCAAGGTACTCTTTATCAACACCAACACTGAAGAAAAGCCTCAGCCCTGCACCGCCCTGGGCCTCATAGAAACACAAGCTTGTCTGGGGCTTTGATTATCTTTAGGGCAGATATGTGGAATGGCAAACGTCGATATGTTATAAAGCACTGAGCCTTTAGGAAGTAGTCTGACGCATGGCTGGCATTTATCGAGTTATCCTGCGTTTTCACTTATATCGTGACTGACCAAGTAGCCCAGACTGCCTCATATCCTCCTCTAGTCGAGTGGCTTCTCGTTGACACTCTGATGCTTCACTTTGCACACATTACCTCTGAGGCTAAACAACAAGATCCATCCAGTGAGAGCAATGGGAACTTGTCTAATCATTGCCACAATCATAATCACGCTTGTGTGGCAGCAATGCCTTCCTGCGCTCTGGGGTCCTTTTGCTAGCTGGATGTGCACACGCAGGGAAAATGCTAATCAACTGGGCTCAGCAACCTGTTGGTGAATGGGGTACAGCAAAAGAGGATGCAATCAGAAGCAGCATCTTTCCATATTTGCTTCTCAGTGGAAAGGTATGTACTGTATACCCGGGATGTCAAGGGAATCCACTTTGCCTGGGCCAACTTAAAAGACGGGCATCGCACCCCATCGTACAGGAAAGTATAGCCAACATTCAGCACAACAATAAAACACACACTACGGCGCACTTTCCTACCTCTTCCCACTGGTGGATGTAGCGGATGAGTCTGGAGAGGCGCAGGAGTCGCAGCAAGCTGAGAATCTTTGTGAAGCGGACAATCCGCAAGGCACGTGCTGTCTTGTAGAAATCCGAATCAATGCGCGTCTCCACGATGAGGAAGATGTAGTCCACGGGGATGGAGGAGATGAAATCCACCACAAACCAACTCCGCAAGTACTTTATCTTGATCTGTTGTGGATCCAGAGTGATCTCCGTGTTGTCCTCTTTGACGATGCCAGTCCTGAAATTGAGGACCAGATCCATGAGGAAGAAGGTATCGGAGACCACGTTGAACACGATCCAGGGGGGCGTGTGCTCATCCTTGAAGAACGTGATGCCCACGGGGATGATGATGAGGTTGCCCACCATCAGCAGCAGCATGGTCAAGTCCCAGTAAAACCTTTTTGCAAATAGAAATAGAGAAAGAAAGATATAGGATTGTAAAAGAGAGTCAGAACATAGATAGAAACAGGCTCCTTTCCAGGAAGGTCCTGTTAAATGCACAAGGTTTTGTGTCTGGAAAATAACGGTGTGTACGTTTGGGTCCTACTTCTGCCACTGATGCCATTTTCCCGAATTGACATTTTCCTGGGAAAACGGACGCTACTTATCGCTGAGCCCCGGCACACTGACGAGGCTTATTAAGACACTTAAATAGAATAGTCATTTTATTAATGACATCTGAGTTTTACAAATTAAAAATGAAATGTCTGCTTTTAACAACATTTATTTAAATACCTGAGTATATAAGTATGAATCATAACAGTTTTTTAATACATCAACCCCCTTAGAAAATGCCACTACTTAGCAAACATTGCAGGAGTATCAAGAAGTATTGAGCACCTCTCTGAGCCTCATCACATATTTTCATTTATTGACCTTTTGGTGTGTATGTTTGGTGGAAGAAAGCATATCTCCACAGGGTGGGATGAAAGCTTAATAACCAATACAAATGTAACCCCTTACAGCTGCCTGACTTTGTTGTACTGTAAATCTCAAAAGTCAATGAGGGTTAGTTGTTAATTACAAATTGCACTATGACCTCTTCCATCTTCCAGTCCTGAGAGTTTGAATATCAAATGCATTCTCTGCTCGCTTGGTAATTGAGTCCAGATTGGCTCTTTTGTGTTACGGGTGATATATTCTGGATACTCAACAGATCACAATATGAGAGGGGTCCTGCATGGTGGACCAGCCCAATGAGTTCTGAGGATTTATTCACCTCACCATTAACTGGGCCACAAAGATCAATCCGTGTGCAAAGTCAATTTCAAGAACAGGGCAATAAGAAACCAGGATGGAAGGGTAATACATACATAATCAGGGTACAAAATGCATTTCTACTGCAAGCAAGCAAGTCTACAGCAAGTTATTACTTCTCTTCCACGCCCTTGTTGTGGCTAAAGACTCTCGATTTCATGGTTGACTCACAGTGCTGAAGGAAATAATAAACTGCTGCTTTGCAGGATGACACAGTCTGATCGAAAAAGTCCTCTGACCATTGTCATGTCAAGTTGAGTTAAGTGTAATGATGCAGAGCAGGAACACAACATCTGCCTCACCAGAGCAGGACATTATCTGGTACATAGTCTGTTTCCTTACCTTGTGATATCCCTTGTGATTTTTATTTTCTTTGCATGCCTGCTTTGTTGGAGGTTTACAGTTCATATTTTTATCCACGATTAGATCTAAAATGGCCTTTTCTTTTTAAAAGTTCCTTGAGATATGTTTGTGATAAAGCACAACGATTCCAAGTAATATTAATCTTTGATATACCTCGATATTCCTGTTGCTCGTAATGCGATCTATGTCCCTTGTTGTACACAATACAGGAAACTTATAAGTCCTTTGTACAAATCATTGATAATTCAATTTAAAAAGAGTTTTTTGAGTGCAAAACATAAATATGTTGAAATATTATCATTACTTTGAAAAGCAATGACTGAAAAACACTATAACACAGGCTGCTATGCAGCAGACGCTTGGGCAGTAATTTGCTACAATTACAGTTTACAAGAGCATTTCACACATGCATGCATACATTTACAGTATACACAGTCACACATCTCAGTTTCATATCTATTACACACAGAGAAGCGCATACAAAAACACACTGAGAAACCAGGGACAGTAATTGGAATTCTTCAAAGTAAAAGGGTATCTACTGTTCCAGCTCGTTGTCAAGTTGAGTTATATTTAGACAGACCTTGCCACCACAGTGTTTTCTCATTTTAGGACTGAAAGCCCAACAAGACATGAACAACTTCAAAGGAAGAAATACAACCATAGATCATATAGCATGTTATCTTATGCTAGAAATGGAAGAAAGCACGCACGTTTTTTTTTTTTACATACCCTCAGCTAAAGCTTTTTCATAGGACGCAAGCGTGCTCCAGGCACTTACATGCCTCAGTATATCAGCCATGATTTAAGGTTATCTGTTTCTATATAAACAAACATGCAAATATCTCCCTTTGCTTTGCTATTGAAAATGTAGGAATTTTAGGTTTCTGCAAGCCACAGGATACGGTGTATGTTGAGGTATCTGAACGAAAAAAGTCACTGAAAATCAGACTGGTATCATTTTCGCGGAAAAGCACAATTATATTGTGAAACGATTGCTCACCTTTAAACAAGTAAACCACAAAAAACTCAAAATATAGTGTTGGTTTCACAAAGGACAAAGACATAGATCATATATCAAAGTATCAGAGGTATGGACTTTGAGCTGATGATGGGCAGGACACAGCTTCTGCTGCCACCTGTTTGAGTAAACCTCACTTGAGATTCATTCAGCTCTTGTACGCTCATTGTAAAAGAAAAAAGTATCTTTCTAAATATGAAGGGAAATGTGGCAAACCAAAAAATACCAAAAACAAATCAGAGCATGGTACCATTTGATGGTCAATTGGATTTTTAACATGAATCAATCTACAAGTGGAAGATGTCCTATGACCTTCAGTGAGTTGTGATAGACCCACTGCAATGTGAAAAGAAAAAGTATGAAAGGCTCTAAAGAGCTGTGTAGGAATCCTTTTGGGTTTTAGTATTCGTTATGTGTACTTTTAGACTGTGGTTTTACATGCATGTGTGGAGCAAATGCTCATGATTTCTCCTTTTCACTCTTGTGGTTGGCTCCTGATGGAGGTCAGGGCACTTAAACATAGCAGGGATCCATTTACGGTGTTTTATTATTCACTGGGACCCTGACATGGAAGAACATTGTTCTATAAATATAGTTGGGTGAGCGTGACATATCAGGCAGACATTCACAAAAGGCATTGAACAATCCTATATCTCATCTTATGCATTCCAAATAACTGAATAACGCTGCGTACTGTCATACCAGTAAAAAGAAGGCAAAATGACTGTCTGACATTTCTATCCACACAAATACATTTTTGTGCTTTCCTTTGGTCATAAACACAAAAAAAAATAGATCAGATAAAAAACATGTACACAATCAACAACAACAAAAATGCAGCTGGGGTTTCTGTGTTTTCAAATGATTATGTGACCGCTGGGGAACATCCGAGCCGTCTGCAACAACAGGGAAGCAGCCTAAAATTATGGACACATCGGGAATACAAAGTAGAATAGCTCACGCCTAACTTGTTGTGGAGCCGAGTGTTCAATGCACTAATGAAGGGAGCCCTGACATTTTGCTGTCTGTTGGGACACACAGCCCACTCTGCTCTCCGGTGGGGTGACCAGAGACAGCAGGAACATGTTGTCACTCTTAGAGTGCATCTGCCTACACGATAAGCCTCTCTCGGTCTCTTCACCTTGCCGGCCAGGCTACCTGAAAGGGATTGTGAGCCACCAAAAGCAGCCTGAAATGGACAGACACTTACCCCCTTCCAGGGGTAGCCTATATCTAAATTGAGGGTTCACAGGGGATACAGAGATGGGGTGTATATAGTCCTGCACATACAGGGCATAAATGGGTACGCATAGGTGTGTGCACTTGTTTAGATTTCCCTTACAAAGATGTCTATCTGTTGGCTGTCATGCTGGGAGAGTGATGGCAAAGCTTGCAAGCAGATCATCTGTCATGTCAGGTACAAGTGGCAGACATCATTTAACAGTTCCTCCCTTTATTCTGCACCACACTGACTGAATGGGAACAGCACAAAAACATTTCCCAGACTGCACCTCCACAAGGGCACTAGCCAATATTGTGTGAACTGTTAAAGTTGGCTGATTAAATGTTAGGAATGTGTCTGTTTTTGCATGAGAAAGATGTTTTATTTTGAATAATTCAGTCGTGTGTGTGTGTGTGTCAACTTTACTGCCGAGCAAATAGGCTAAAACAGAAGAGCCAAAAAATGCCCTTCTTAAAAATGTGCAGTTTGAGGATAGCACAAAAAGAGAGTCAATCTCCATAGATGCCCATGTAAAAAGACCCACTTCACAGCTCATGTAAGTGTTATATAAGTGTCGTCATAACTGAGGGATTGGTTGCTTTGAGTGACAGATGGGGGCCATACCAGGTCGCTAGCTGCTAGCTGTCAGCTCTGCTGCATCATACAGGACCATCTCAGCTCCAGCAGCTCTTTGTAAATTAAAAATGGTCAGAAATTCCCTCCAAAATACCAAATAAAGACACCAAGACCTTTAGGAAGAGAAAAGAAAAATGCACTCTGTTGTTTGGTAACATGATGCATTTTTAATTTTGGGGAACTCAAAAGCTAAACTAAAGCTAAAGCTAAAATTGCATTTCTTTATGTTCTTGAAATCAGTTAGTCCCATTTGAGGCAGATATCCCATCCAAGAAAAGGAAAACCACTTATTTTTTCATAAGATACACCTAACAACAAGAAGAAGTAATATATACGCTAAAGCCTATCAAAGTCAATAGCAGAACAACATCTGTGAAAGGAAAACAAATGTGTTGATTACCCGTAAAAGAACAGCTCATTAGTTTGCACAAGCCAGTTGGCACTCACTTCAAAATGTGAGCGAGAAAAAGGGTTTAAAAGGGTTAATCCTATTTTTGTTGTTGTCACTTGCTCCAATGAACTGTCGTAGCGGTGCTGTCTTCGCCGAGCACAGCCAGCAGGCACACTGCACACGACACTGGGGCCGTTGCACTTGCAGGTGGCTAAATTTAGGCGAGACGTGCTGTTTTATCAAACTATGGCAGATTTCATCAGAGGCAGCGGCAAATCTGCCCAAACGGGACTGTTATTCAACATAGCCAAGAGAAAGGCAATGCTCAAGGCAATGTTACATCTTCTGCAGAACCACATTTTCGGCTAGATAGGGGTCTTCTCCTTTAAAGGTGAGTTAGTGTGGGGGGGGTGTCTGGAGACGGAAGTGGCACCTAAGTATCTCAGGCCCTATCCTTCACAGCTTCCCAGGGTGCCACCTGCCACCTATCTACTCAGAGTTAATGGA